CCCGCTGGGCCTGACAGTCTAGCCAGCTCTCTATCTTCCCTAGGGTATGTCTACACAGCAAAGTTATTTCGAAATAACAGCCATTTTGAAATTGATTCGAAATAGCGGAGCACTTATTTTGAATTTGGTAAACCTCATTCCACGAGGAATAACACCAAATTTGAAATAGCTATTTCGAAATAAGTGCTGTGTAGAAACTTATTTCAAAATAGGGGGCCTCCAGCCTTCCCAGGGAGCCCAGTTGGCCACTCCAGCGTCAACCAAGAACACTCCTCTCCCTCCACCCTCCCCGGAGCCCTTAAAGGGGTTGACTCTGGCCACAGTGCCTGTGCCAGCTCCAAGCCTGCCAGCCCACAGCCAGCAGTCACTGCCCCTGACCCAGTGGCCCCAAAACATGAGCCAGCAAGCCACTGGCAGCCAACTGTCCACCGCTCCCCAGGAGCAGTCTGCCAGCTCCCAGGAGGCTGCCAGGGCCCAGAGAAGGCAGGAGCCTTCCTGGTCCTGGGTGGAGATCATGGACTTTATTCAGGTTTGGGGGGGATGCCCTCAACGTCCATGATCTCTGCACTAGATGGAGGAATGAGGCCATCTCTGGCAGGATAGCTACCATCCTGAACACCAAAGGCCACATGCAAACCCAGGAATAGGTTTGCATGAAAATCAAGTTGGTCTGGTGAGACCCCCAACCCTGAGCCCTGAGCTTCCCCTCTCCCTTCTTCCCCTTGATTCCCCTTTACAGCTCCCTCCTCCCAGGTTTCCCCCTCCCCTCTCCCATCTTCTCTTCTCCCCTCTCCCACCTCCTTTCCGCAGTCTTACCAGAGTTTCATTCCCCCCCCCCCGTTTTGTTAAATATTGAGAGTTTTTGTTCATGAAAATACATGTATTTTATTTGACATCAGGACGGGGGGGTTAGGGAGGGGTAAGTGGAAGGATGTGAGGGAGTAATGAGGCACAAGCCCCTAGTGGGGCAGACCAGGGAGGAAGCTTTCCCACAGAGCCTCCTGGATACTGACAGCCCCCCGATGGACATCCCAGATGGCAGGCTGCAGAAAGTGCAGCCAGGCTCACAGCAACACATCCACGAGAAGCACCAGAGTGCCCAGGGGAAGCTCTGGCTCCATGTTGCCGAGTGCTGTGGTGTCTCAAGTGAGGGCAACCAGAGCATGCAGAGACAAAATGCTTTTCTGTCCCTCATCGAGGTAGGCAAGCAAGCAGGGAAACCTGAGAATTGGCTGACCAGGAGCGGTCCCTTTAAGCACAGGCCTCAGAGAGCCTCAGGCAGCAGCCACACAAAGAAACTCCTGACCTGATGCCCTGCTGGACCTGGTTCCAGCCGTCCTTAAATGCGATTCAGCATCCACTCAGTGTGGACGCGCTATTTCAAAATAGCTAAAAGCTATTTCAAAATGCATTTTGGGTGTAGATGTGTTATTTCAAAATAAGCTATTTAAAAATAATGCAGTAGTGTAGACATACCCGTACAGTCCATTTATCCAATCTATACCTTCTTAACTTGCCAGCAAGAATTATGTGGGAGACAGTATCAGAAGCTTTGCTAAAGTCACAGTATATCATATCCACTGACTTCCCCATGTCCACAGAGTCAGTTACCTCATCATACAAGCTAATCAGATTGGTCAGACATGACTTGTTCTTGGTGAATCCATGTTGACTCTTCCTGATCACTTTTCCCTTTTCCAAGTGCTTCAAAATGGACTCAGTACTGCCAAGCCCCACTTAAACTTGGAAGTCATCTCACAAAAAATATATGATTGTTTGAGAAATCAACCTCATAACTATTAATGAGTTTTAAAAGCAGGTGGGGGGGGGGGGGGTTTTTTGTTTTTGCATGCCTGGGATTTCCATGCCTTTGGGTCACCTGCCTGAGGTTTGCTAGCTTTTCTGCAACTCACTTTTGAAAACAAATATTTTTAATTAGAACTGAAAGCTGAGATTCCTCCGCAGCTTCTTGACTCCAGAAGTCAGGGCTTTTAGAAAGACAGGAACTAGTGCAAACAAAAAACAGGACTATGTAGCACTTTAAAGACTAACAAGATGCTTTATGAGGTGATGAGCTTTCGTGGGCCAGACCCACTTCCTCAGATCAAATAGTGGAAGAAAATTGGCATGACCATATACACCAAAGGGATACAATCAAAAAAAGTGAACACATATAAAAAGGACAAATCAAATTAGGAACTAGTGCCAGACTCTCAATGAAATCCCAGGAGGTGGTGCTGTTGGCCTTCTCTAGAGCAGGACACCCACGAATGAAGCTACTAGAGGTAGAGGCTGGGGATGCTTCTAGTTCCACAGTTCAATGGCAGAGATACTATTTGTCTCTGCACTGGGCTACCATCTTTTTAAGGAACAGGGCAACCCCACAGACACCAGGAGAAAGCAGTGAGGGGCTTGCAGCGTTCCTGGGTACCTGAGGCACAGCTCAGAGAGTCTCCTCCTCATGTTCAGGCATGAGACAGGCACTCACCGGCTAAGAAAGACCAGGCACATTGGCCAGACACATTGGCAAAGCAGCAGTTCTACATTCTTTGTAGAAAGGGGTGTGATTCAAGCACAGCTCAAAGGCCTGTCTACTAGCTTTCTATTGGCCCCCAAAACACCTCTCCTCTAGACACAGCTAGCCCTGAACTTGGTGATGTTGACATTTGGGTGCTGGGCGTGAGGTCCATCTCCAGCACTAGAGCGGCTCTTGTTGCTCATGGAGCTAGCGGGGGTCAGGATCAGATTGAGGGCCACCCATTAGGGCTCTGCTTGGCCAGGCAGATCCTTTGATCTCCAGAAGCACCTCATGATTCCTCCCCTCGCTGCCGAGCTGCAGGAGGGGCCCAGAACTCCCTCCTCAAAGGGGCCTGTGCCAGCGACAGGCCTCATCAGCAAGGGGTGTGGGGAAGGGTTCAGATCCTGCTCCCCCCACCCTCCCGCCGCTATCCCAGATCATCCTTACGTGGAGCACTGAGCTGAAATCTCTCTCAGGCACAGAGGTTAGTAGACACCTGAAACCTGAACTGGACACAGAATTCCAGCAGTGGTCCCCCCACAGTGCCCTCTGCTCCTATTTGAGAGTCTCCTGGTTGTACATCCCAGATTGCACTCATGTTTGGCTGTAGTGCTGCTCTGGAATCTCATGCTCAGCACTGAGACTTTGGTGAACTAAACCTCAGCATCTGGGACCTCTCCATTTCTTCTGACTGTGCTCTGTGGGGACTGAACTGTCCAAATTGCAACTGGTTTTTCTTTATTTATGTGTATTTTAGCCACGAAGAGCAGGCCTGTAGGTTATCAAAGAGCTATGTTATGTGGCAAACAGACAGACTATTATTTGTTTCTTCACCATAAGATTTACAGTTGTTTAATTAAATTCACTTCTTGAGCTCCGTTTGCGCCTGGAATGTTGGAAGGTTACCCCTGTGTAAGTGTCATGCCACCAAGTGGAACAGGGGCCCACTTCTGGAGCTCAGTGCACAAGCCTCAAGCACGTGAGCTAAAAGCCAGCTGCCCCTCAGAGCAGACTCATGTTCTCTCTCTCTGGAAATGGTCTCAGGGCCAGGACATGGCCCAGTGCCCCACACCCAGAAAGTGCGTAGGTTACACAAACCTTCCTATAAATTCTTAGGCTGTCTAGACTGGCAAGTTTTTCCGCAAAATCATGTGATTTTGCGGAAAAACATGCCAGCTGTCTACACTGGCCACTTGAATTTCCGGAAAAGCACTGACGATCTCATGTAAGATCATCAGTGCTTTTCCAGAAATACTATGCTGCTCCCATTTGGGCAAAAGTCTTTTTCCGAAAGACTTTTGCACAAAAGGGCCAGTGTAAACAGCACAGTACTGTTTTCCGCAAAAAAGCCCCGATCACGAAAATGGCGATCGGGGCTTTTTTGCGGAAAACTGCATCTAGATAGGCCACGGACGCTTTTCCACAAAAAGTGCTTTTGTGGAAAAGCATCCTGCCAATCTAGACGCGCTTTTCCGAAAATGCTTTTAACGGAAAACCTTTCTGTTAAAAGCATTTTCGGAAAATCATGCCAGTGTAGACGTAGCCTTAGAGACTGAACTCTGGGTCTCCAGCTACTTTCCTAGGGAAGTTGGATTTTCAAGCCGCTGGAGAAGGGCACTGGTGTGACCTGTAGCTCACCCAAAGATGGCAGAAGCTATAGCTACATGCGACATGGGCTTAATGACCCAGAGTCCAGTTTGTTGGCCTGTTTCCCTCAGTGAGCTACTAGGAGCCAGAATTCCAGGGAGTTAACACCTCCAGGGCGTCTGGGTGTCCTGACGGCATAGTAGCTGCTACCTCATTCGCAGGCTGCTCTGTTCTGTCTCGAATGGACAGGGGCGTTGGTAAGGGTGCTGTGGAGAGGGGCTGCCAGACCAGCTTCTCCTGGGGCTCCTGCCTCAATCGTGTATCTGACACGACTCAGTCACAAGCCCCTGGATGAGGGTGTGGGGGAAGGGAGGGCGTCTGTGCCCCCTGCGCAGCTGCTGTCCACAGCTGGTGCAGGGCCCATGGATCACAGAGCTCCCAGAGGGCCAACACTGTGACTTCAGGAGAGCTCTGCAGCTTTTTTTCATGGCCCCTGGATGTTTCACCAGATACAACATCCAGCCATGGGAAACAACATCCAGCTCCATTTACTTTATTGGCAGTACCGTGAGCAATTCTGAGGTCAGAGGAACCATTCATAGGGCTTGTTAAAGGCCAACATCCCACTGGCTGTCCATGAACACAATCACTTTATGAATACTTGTGCCACCTTGGTCTCCTTCTCCTAGTGCTCTGTCCTCCCTTACCAGTGGGTGTGGACACACCTCTCCCATTGCTCTAGGCCTCACACCCCATCTGAACCTCTCTCTACAGCGTGGAGATCAGGAGCTGATGGTGTCTGAGATATAAGGGTACAGAATAGAATAGGTGGCCGTGGCTGGTCTTCTTCATTTAAATTGTCAACAGCTCTAGACACAGGAAATAAACTTTTGCTTCACTTGATGAACATGTCGAATATCTTGGCACGCAGGTGTTTGCTTTTCACACTGTACACGACTGGGTTCATCAGGGGGGGGACCAGCAAGGACATGTTGCCCAGGAGAATCTGAAGCAAGGGAGAAGAGCCCTTCCCAAATCTGTGTATCAGAGATAAGCCAATCTGTGGTGTGTAGAAGAGCAGGACGGCACAGACATGGGAAACGCAGGTGTTCAGGGCCCTCAAGACCTGTGTGCAGGATGTGATACTCAGCACTGTGTTGAGAATTATCATATAGGACAGAAGGATGAACACTGAGTCCAACCCCATTGTAACGAGTTTCGCAAACAAGCCATAGAGGCTGTTAACGGTGATGTCCGAACAAGCTAACTTCATGACGTCCTGGTACAGGCAGTAGGAATGGGAGAGGACATTGTCTCGACAGTATGGGAACCGATTCAGGAGAAAGGGGAGTGGGGTGATTATGGCCACCCCTCTTATCACACACACCAGACCCATCTTGGGTATTCTCGGCAGGGTTAAGATGGACGTGTATCTCAGTGGGTCACGGATCGCGATGAAGCGGTCAAAGGCCATCATCAGGAGCATGGAAGATTCAATGGTCTCAAAAGAGTGTATGAAGAACAACTGGGAAAAACAGGCATGGAGGCTGATTTCCCTGTAGTTAAACAAGAATATACCCAGTGTTGTTGGCACGGTGGCTATTGATAAACCAATGTCTGTGATGGCCAACATGGAAAGGAAAATGTACATGGGTTCATGGAGGCTTGAGTCTGTTTTTATAATGAACAAAATGGCTGAATTTCCTACTATTGAGATAGCATACATGAAGCAGAAAGGGATAGAGATCCAGAGATGGACGTCTTCCTTCCCAGGTATCCCAGTGAGAAGGAACACTGAAGAGTTGAGTTTGGTATGATTGACAGCTGACATCATGTACTCGGCAGGCCTCAGGAGTTTTGAACTTTCTTTATTGCTATGAAAAATAACAAGAGATTAGATGATATGTAGTGAGACAACTTTCTCTCTCAGTGGTTACCTAAAGACACCAAAGAGGAAAATCAACAAAGCCATAATCTTGAACTTACGGCAGCAACAGGAAGATAAGCACTGCCAGAGAGTATCAGACCTGTAGTCCACCTAGCCCATTGTCCACTGGCCAGAAGCAGATGTTTTAGAGGAAGGTGGAAGCAGCCTTGCAATAGGCAGCTATGAAATAATCTTCTCCAAGCGAAAGTTTCCACTTGACACCTAGTAGTTATGAATCTTCATCATTTAAATCAAGAAGGTTTATAACCTTTCACAGACTTTTTTAGGAACAATCCTCACTATTGTTTATCCTCACGTGAACATCCTGTCCTTCTTTGAATCCTACAAAGCTCTTATCCCTGTTGATATACTGTGGCTGTGAGTTCCACACCCTACTTGAACAATTGTAACCTTCTCACAGAAACTTCTTTAGTATGGTAGATTGTTTCACGACATGTATATAAACACATGGAATGGACATAGTTATTGTATTTATCTGTCCTGCTTTGAAGATATTTATAAATATTTTTCATAGTTTTATTCTATCTATCTATCTATCTATCTATCTATCTATCTATCTATCTATCTATCTATCTATCACATTTTTCACTCTTTAGAATGCAAATTGTGTCAGTGCCTTTTTGTGTTATGCCAGGTTCTCAATTAAAAAATTATTTGTGATTAATCACACTGTTAAACAATAGAATGACATCTAATATTTTCTGTTTTCAATATTGACTTCAATGCCAACATAAGAACTAGGAATCGGCAGCACCTTAAAGACTAACAATTTTATTATGGCATAACTTTTTACCAGTTGCCGCTCACTTTGTCGGATGCATGAAATGAAAGAAAAAGAAACAGATGGTAGAGATACAGAGATGGGAGTGTCAAAACAATTGCCTGCTGTGTAGACACAAACTAAATTATTTTGGAATAGTGCTAGTTATTTTGAAACAGTGTTGCAGTGTTTAGGAACAATCCTCACTATTGTGCCCGAAGACAAACAAATTTGTTTACATTAGCAGGAGATCCTGCCGCCTGCTTCTTATTTCCAATGTCACCAGAAAGTGAAACAAGGTGTTTGCATGGCACTTTTGTAGCCAATGTTACGAGATATTTTCTGCAAGATACACAAAACATTTGTATGTCCTCTCATGCTTCCGCCACCATTCCAGAAGACAAGCTTCTACGCTGATGTTCTTTTAATGAATGCATATTTTTTAAAAATTGTGACTGAATTCCTTGAGAAAGAATTCTTTATCTCCTGTTCTGTTCTACCTGCATTCTGCCATATATTTTGCATGACAGCAGTCTTTGGCGATGACCGAGCACATGTTTGTTTTAAGAATGCTTTGAGAGTAGATTTGAGAAAACACGATGTGAGATTTCTAAAGAGAGATCCAACACCCCACCAGTGTTTAAGAATCTGAAGTGCCTTCCAAAATCTGAGGGACAAGGTCTGGTGCACGCTTTCAGAAGTCTTACAAGAGCAACACTCTGATGCAAAATCACAGAATCCGAACCACCCCCAAAAAATCAGTCATCTGCTGGTGGCATCTGACTCAGATGATGAAAATTAATATGTGTCAGTCCGCTCTGCTTTGCATCATTACCAATATGAACCCAACCTTAGCACAGACTGAATGGGGATGGAAGCATGAAGCACATAAGTATCTCGCAATGACAGCTATGCAAGGAGAAACTCTTGAGCTGGAATGCATTTGCAAATTTGACACTGGACAAAGAGGTATAAACAGAAACATGGAATGGCTCTCTCGTTACAATGGATGATTTCCCCGCTAGGTGTTCTCACCTTCTCATTACTGTTGGAGATGAACCACATCCACTCCGGTTTAATTAGCACTATTGTCACACTCCCATCCATCTCTGTCCCTGACTTTTACCTTTTCTTTCCTCTCAAAGTATCTGAAGAAGTGAGGTGCATCTCATAAAAGCTTATGGCCTAACAAATTAGTCTTGAAGGTGCTATCTGGCTGCTTGTAATTTTAGCCTTCATCCAGTCGCTTCTCAGCAAACACAAGTGGGGTAGCTCCTCTCCCCCTGGGTTAAGAACTGACTGGTTCTCCTCAGGTTCTGTTCAGTCGGCCTTTCGTCTGTGTGGAGTGATACCCGTCACTGGGGTGAGTATAGAAAATATTCATCCTGTAGGCTCTCACTGTCAAGTACATAGTGACCCCAGGGCTGGTTGTTCAGGTCTGATGGGGGGTTGCAGGAAGTGGGTTTCAAAATCAAATGCCCGAGTATTCCTGGACATGGAACTTAATTTCACACACAAAGTAATCTACTGCACTCTCTCACTCTATGTCTTTCTCTCTTATCCTTTTTCATTCTCTCACTCTCACTCTCTCATCCTTTCTCTCCCTCTCTCAACCTTTCTCTTTCTCCCTCTCTCTCATCCTTTCTCTCTCTCCCTCTCATCCTTTTTCTCTCTCCCTCTCTCAACCTTTCTCTCTCTCTCTCACCCTGTCTCCCTCTCTCTCTCTCATCTTTTCTCTCTTCCTTTCTCTCTCTTTCTCTCTCACCCTCTCTCACTCTTCCTTTCTCTGTTGCTCACTCTCATACTTTCTCACCCTCTCTCACTCTCTTTCTCTCTCTCTCACTCTCTCATTCACACTCTCTGTCTTTCTTGCTCTCCCTCTCTGTCTCTCTCTAGCACTCTCATTCTTTCTCTCGCTCTCTCATCCACTTTCTCTCTCTCTCTAGCTCTCTCTAGATTGCTCATCCTCACTCCCTCTCTCGCTCTCACTCTCTCTCTTTCACCCTCTCTGTCTCTCTTTGAATGCCAATGTCCTGTTTTCATAAAATATGTTGCCCCCCGGGATGCCATTGGGACAGACATGGCATTGAACTGCCTCAATGAATGTGTGAGTTACACCCACTTCACGCAACGCTTACTGACAAGGGGTAATGGGTTAGCCACTGGGGTGTCTACATTCTAGCTGTGTGGGGTGAAACCAGTCTGGCTCTTCTATTTTAAGAGCAGGCTTCTGGGAAACAAGCAGGAAGGAAAGCAGCAGCCCTAGAAAATCCATCACTCCATGAGCACTTCAGGGTGTTTGAAGACCAGACCAGACCTAAAAGCTGGGAAGAGCCTGTTTCCGGGCTCCAGTCACATCACCCAGCTTGTTCTGCCAGCGCTGGGAGCCTGTCCAGAGGTGGGGCAGCTGTTGCTGAGAAGCTCTTCGGACTGACAGGCATCGACGCCTCTGGAAGGGCACAGTGGAAGGGCCTTGGGTCAGACATGTACAGACAGTTTGAAAACCTCCCATGTTAAGTTGTACTCCTGCTGCTCAGATTGAATGGTACTTAGGTTCTAGAAGGGCCGGCTGGTCACCTGTCTCACCACTAGCCACAGCCTCCCAGAGGGAAGAACCCCAGGGGCTGAACCCAGTCGGACCTGCTGGTCAAGCACAGTCGACCCACAATGCATGGCAGAACAGAGTCCAGTCTGAGGGTGGGAAGACTCTGGGATTCCATCCTATGAGAGGGCCCGGTCCAAGGCCTGACGTGTGGCACTTGGAGACCACGGATGGGCAGAGATGCCAGTGGCCCTGTATCTCTATGGGTGTTTACAGGGCAGATGTGCTGGGGCCCCCAGCCAGTCAGGAACCTGTTACCTGTTGGACCTGTTACCACAGCTCTGTTGGACCTGTTACCACAGAGCAATGCAGCTCTGAGTTCCTGCCCTCACAATCAAGCCAGAGAATCAAACCTTTGAAAATGTATTTGCTGATTAAATTTCAAGCATTCCATCCATCTGAGGCCATATGGGAAGGAGTCACTAAAATTCCATGTTATCACCTGTCATTCAGCCCCTGGCGGGGTCTGGTACAAAGCACACAGCCCCTCTGGGAATGAGACTTTCTGGGGTATCGGGTGGGGGTGAGAGTGGTAACACTCTGAGCACACTTAGAATGTGAGATTTCTGTGAATAACTCACTGCAGAGCATGGGCAGATGGAGGGGTGGGTTCCCAAACTCCCTCATTCTTCCTGCCCCACTGCAGAGCATGGGAAGATGGAGGGGAGTGTTCCCAAACTCCCTCATTCTTCCTGCCCTCCAGCTCTGTCACTGAATCACCTTGGCAGCCCAGGTGAGTCCTCTGCCGCTGCACAGAACATCTGACAATGCAAACAGCCTGCAGCCTTCGCCCTGCACTTGGCATGTTACAGACAGTGAAACCTGCCAACGTACCCAGTTCCTGCTAGAAGGGAGCCGCTGGCACCAGAGGTCTTCTCCTTCAGGGACAAGGAGTCATCGGAGAGGTTGCATGTACAGCAGGCAGTGTGTGTTCAGCTAGGGAGGCAACTGCCTTTATGCAGCATGTTTGTATCTTCCCATGGGGCCACTTGGCCATCTGGGAACCTCAGCTGCTTGGCTTCCTGTCCACCAGCTTTAACCCCAACATAGGCAACGGCAAACGGCAGGAGACCAAATCCTACGGAACAGGTGGAGATGCTAAACAATTGGTTTGCAACACAGGCAACGGCAAACGGCAGGAGGCCAAATCCTACGGAACCGGTGGAGATGCTAAACAATTGGTTTGCAGCACCACCCCTGCTGCAGGCTCTGTTCCTGGAATCCGAGCTTGTCAGCCCTTTTCTGATGAGTCTGATTGGTCACATGGCTATCGCAGGGGCTGCCAAGTGATCTTGCTGCAATACAAACCCAGAGTGCAGGCCTGAAAAGGGAGATGCCACCAGGCCCTGCAGAGAGACATTTCCCTTGGATCATTCCAGTAGGGGATAAACTTCCTAACCGTCACCTAGGCATCTAAGCACTAGAATCAATTGCCAAGGTATATTGTAGAATCACCTGGAGAATCACCAGGTTAGGACAAACACCTGTCGGGGGTGGTCTATATAATACTTATTCCTGCCTGGA